GTGATGATTACGGAATTAATCATCTCAATATAAACATGACTAAAGCAACAGTAATAATCTTAATGACATCCACAAAAATAAGAATATTGGGAGTGATCCGCGAAACAAAATTAATAATGATGAAAATAATGATAAGAATAATACTATTACTACTCATAATAATAATAATGGTAATAACTAATAGTATTACCATTATCTTTAACATTAACGTAATGCGAAAAGCATTAGTAATAATAATCACAAAAGCAATAATACCAAAGATCCCAATAATAATAATAATAATGACAGTATCATTATTATCATTAATATAAATATATCAACAATAATCAAAGTAATTATAGTCAGTATAATAATATTAATAAAAATAACAATAACAATCATTACCTCTATCGCCGCCATAAATTCTAAAAAAAATCGTCACATAAAAAGAAAAAAAATATCTACAGCAAATATAGGCAAAAGATACACGAAAAATTAAGCCCCCCCCCCCCCCTAACACACGAACATTCGACGACCGCAAAAGTAATTTCCCAGGAGAGTGCAAAGTGTCCGCGCTCCCCCACAGGAGGCGAGTTCACAACCTGCCTCGTCGCCCTCGTGCCTGGAACCGCCATTTTCATTCTTTTTTATTACTCTCTTTCTTTCGTTCTTTCTATCTATCTATCTTTCTTTATTTCTTTCTTTCTTTCTTTCTCTCTCTCTCTCCCAATTTCCGTTTCCCTCTTTCTGTCATTTTGTCCTACTCTTTTTTTCCCTTTTTCTGCCCCTTAGCCCCCCCCCCACCTCTCTCTCCTTCCCTCTCCCTCCCTCCCTCCCTCTCCCTCCCTCCCTCCCTCCCTCCCTCCTCTCTCTCTCTCTCTCTCTCTCTCTCTCTCTCTCTCTCTCTCTCTCTCTCTCCCTCCCTCTCCCTGTCTCTGTCCCAGTTTCCGTTTCCCTCTTTCTGTCATTTAGTCCAATTCTTTTTTTCCCTCTTTCTGCCCCTTAGACCCCCCCCCCCTCTCTCTCTCCCTCTCTCTCACTTTCCCTTTATTCGTCTCTGCACCTCTCCCTCTTCTCCTCGCTTGATCGATGTGTGATCAAAACGTCATCGGTCATGCGAGATCAGGCTGTGTGGTGGAAGAGCGTGGTCATGCGTGTGACTGCTGTGCAACTACGCGGGGATGAAAGAATTTCAGAAGGGAGATGGAGAGGGAGGGAGGAAAAGGGAGAGGGACATGGAGAGGGACAGGGAGAGGGACAGGGAGAGGAACAGGGAGAGGAACAGAAAGAGGAAGACGAAGAGGAAGAGGGAGAGGGAGAGGGAGAGGGAGAGGAAGAGGGAGAGGAAGTGGGAGAGTGGGAGGAGAGAGGGAGAGGGAGAGGGAGAGGGAGAGGGAGAGGGAGAGAGAGAGGAAGAGGGAAAGGGTGTGGAAGTGGGAGAGAGAAAGAGGGTAGAGAGGTATACTGGGTGAGAAAGGGAGAGAAATAGGAAAAGGGAGGGAGGGACATACGGAGGAAGGGAGACTGAGAGGGAGAGGGCAGGGGAGGGGGAGGGAGACTAGAAAAATGGAGCATAAAATAAATCACTTTTACTTATTCAAGTTTAAAAACATTTTCAACTAGCCACAAAACTAGGACAAGTTTTCCATATATCCAAGTGTTTTTGTCAACCTTAACAACTGTTGTAACAGCAGGCAAACTCTGCCCATCTTTTAAATTTCTATCACACAAATAGCTTTACACTTTTATCCTCCTCTGCGCACTCATCCTTCGCAAATATAACTGATGACCCAGTTCTATGTCACAAGGGCTAGAACAGTGCCTCCTTTCAAAGGACTTTTACTTGGTATGTGGAAACCATGACCCAAAGTATATGCCCCTCCTCATCTCAGACTCCGTGCAGACTGCTTCAAGACCCTCCTGGTCCCTAGCCAACTTTGTTACTGTTGCATCATAGAGGCCCCTAATATCATTTCGTTCTCATAGTTATTTACAGTTTTCATCCAAGTACAGATGAAATGCTTATTTTCAACTCGTATAGGAATCTTTTTATTGTGAAAGCTTTCCATGTATTCTGTGCAACATTCCAGCAATTGATATAATATGTAAAATTTAACTCTAGAGATACAGCATTGATTACGTATCAGATGTAAATACCAACCAATACTCAAGTGTGTCTTATCAAGGCAAATATGCAGTTGAGAATTTGGTGACAATTGGCTGAATACCACAGGTCTGCATAACATCACTGTATTTCAAGTTATCATAATCAAGAAAGTTGTCAACCTGCAATCAGTCATCACCCACCTGTCACGTGTGCCTTTCCATGTAAGAGTAACTTACTTAGATCAATCAAGCAGGTACAATAATCTAAAGTGTAATGAAATGAGTCGCCAATGGTATATACGCCTTTGTGACATTTATAAAGAGGGAGAGGGAGAGGGAGAGGGAGAGGGAGAGGGAGAGGGAGAGGGAGAGGGAGAGGGAGAGGGAGAGGGAGAGGGAGAGGGAGAGGGAGAGGGAGAGGGAGAGGGAGAGGGAGAGGGAGAGGGAGAGGGAGAGGGAGAGGGAGAGGGAGAGGGAGAGGGAGAGGGAGAGGGAGAGGGAGAGGGAGAGGGAGAGGGAGAGGGAGAGGGAGAGGGAGAGAGAGAGAGAGAGAGAGAGAGAGAGAGAGAGAGAGAGAGAGAGAGAGAGAGAGAGAGAGAGAGAGAGAGAGAGAGAGAGAGAGAGAGAGAGAGAGAGAGAGAGAGAGAGAGAGAGAGAGAGAGAGAGAGAGAGAGAGAGAGAGAGAGAGAGAGAGAGAGAGAGAGAGAGAGAGAGAGAGAGAGAGAGAGAGAGAGAGAGAGAGAGAGAGAGAGAGAGAGAGAGAGAGAGAGAGAGAGAGAGAGAGAGAGAGAGAGAGAGAGAGAGAGAGAGAGAGAGAGAGAGAGAGAGAGAGAGAGAGAGAGAGAGAGAGAGAGAGAGAGAGAGAGAGAGAGAGAGAGAGAGAGAGAGAGAGAGAGAGAGAGAGAGAGAGAGAGAGAGAGAGAGAGAGAGAGAGAGAGAGAGAGAGAGAGAGAGAGAGAGAGAGAGAGAGAGAGAGAGAGAGAGAGAGAGAGAGAGAGAGAGAGAGAGAGAGAGAGAGAGAGAGAGAGAGAGAGAGAGAGAGAGAGAGAGAGAGAGAGAGAGAGAGAGAGAGAGAGAGAGAGAGAGAGAGAGAGAGAGAGAGAGAGAGAGAGAGAGAGAGAGAGAGAGAGAGAGAGAGAGAGAGAGAGAGAGAGAGAGAGAGAGAGAGAGAGAGAGAGAGAGAGAGAGAGAGAGAGAGAGAGAGAGAGAGAGAGAGAGAGAGAGAGAGAGAGAGAGAGAGAGAGAGAGAGAGAGAGAGAGAGAGAGAGAGAGAGAGAGAGAGAGAGAGAGAGAGAGAGAGAGAGAGAGAGAGAGAGAGAGAGAGAGAGAGAGAGAGAGAGAGAGAGAGAGAGAGAGAGAGAGAGAGAGAGAGAGAGAGAGAGAGAGAGAGAGAGAGAGAGAGAGAGAGAGAGAGAGAGAGAGAGAGAGAGAGAGAGAGAGAGAGAGAGAGAGAGAGAGAGAGAGAGAGAGAGAGAGAGAGAGAGAGAGAGAGAGAGAGAGAGAGAGAGAGAGAGAGAGAGAGAGAGAGAGAGAGAGAGAGAGAGAGAGAGAGAGAGAGAGAGAGAGAGAGAGAGAGAGAGAGAGAGAGAGAGAGAGAGAGAGAGAGAGAGAGAGAGAGAGAGAGAGAGAGAGAGAGAGAGAGAGAGAGAGAGAGAGAGAGAGAGAGAGAGAGAGAGAGAGAGAGAGAGAGAGAGAGAGAGAGAGAGAGAGAGAGAGAGAGAGAGAGAGAGAGAGAGAGAGAGAGAGAGAGAGAGAGAGAGAGAGAGAGAGAGAGAGAGAGAGAGAGAGAGAGAGAGAGAGAGAGAGAGAGAGAGAGAGAGAGAGAGAGAGAGAGAGAGAGAGAGAGAGAGAGAGAGAGAGAGAGAGAGAGAGAGAGAGAGAGAGAGAGAGAGAGAGAGAGAGAGAGAGAGAGAGAGAGAGAGAGAGAGAGAGAGAGAGAGAGAGAGAGAGAGAGAGAGAGAGAGAGAGAGAGAGAGAGAGAGAGAGAGAGAGAGAGAGAGAGAGAGAGAGAGAGAGAGAGAGAGAGAGAGAGAGAGAGAGAGAGAGAGAGAGAGAGAGAGAGAGAGAGAGAGAGAGAGAGAGAGAGAGAGAGAGAGAGAGAGAGAGAGAGAGAGAGAGAGAGAGAGAGAGAGAGAGAGAGAGAGAGAGAGAGAGAGAGAGAGAGAGAGAGAGAGAGAGAGAGAGAGAGAGAGAGAGAGAGAGAGAGAGAGAGAGAGAGAGAGAGAGAGAGAGAGAGAGAGAGAGAGAGAGAGAGAGAGAGAGAGAGAGAGAGAGAGAGAGAGAGAGAGAGAGAGAGAGAGAGAGAGAGAGAGAGAGAGAGAGTCACTGTATTTCAAGTTATCATAATCAAGAAAGTTGTCAACCTGCAATCAGTCATCACCCACCTGTCACGTGTGCCTTTCCATGTAAGAGTAACTTACTTAGATCAATCAAGCAGGTACAATAATCTAAAGTGTAATGAAATGAGTCGCCAATGGTATATACGCCTTTGTGACATTTATAAAGGCAGAGCACTTTCCTTGGATAGCTTTATCACACTAACTACACCATGTACAGTAAGTCCCCAACTTAAGAACATAATGGGGACCAAGAGGCTGTTTGTAAGGTGATTGGTTTGTATGTCGAATGTCGGGTCTCCATTACCTTTTTTCCCATTGTTTTAAAGTTTTGTTTACATTAAGAATACCTGTAAATAAATCCCAATAAGTACGACATATCCTATACAGTACCAGACTCTTGAACTATATTCGTGCCCGGGAAATTTGAAGTTTGCTCACATCTTTCAAACAATTTTTTGGACTTTAGTACTTAAAAAATTTTGTTTGTATGTGTGGAATGTTCATAAGTAGAATGTTCTTAAGAAGGGGACAATCTGTATAAGTTTACACTACAATAGGAAATTTCTATGTACTTACAGAAGTCTGCTCGATATCCATTCATTCCAAGTGGAGGTTCAGGCGCTGGCTCCTGAGGGGGAGGTGGGATGTGCTCTCCACGCCCGGCTCTGGCTGCTCGCCCTCGCCCAGGCACTCCCTTGCCAGACATGAAAAGCTTCATGTCTTCCACCACATCTTTGGCGCTAATTCGTAAGCACTGTGAGAGAAATCACAGGGTCATTATTCTGAGCATTCTATATGAGGAATTTTTTTTTTTTTTAGTCATCAAATGATGCTTGAAAATGTAAATAAAGGAATTTTTTCTTATTTTCCTAAGAAAAACTATGAAATTATATGAAGAAAAACTATTGAATAACCAACAAAAATACAAATGAATAAAGTAGAAAATATAAACATGTATAATACACAACCACATCCACACCCACTCCCAAATTCAGAGTTAATGAGATGAGAGGAAATCTTATGAGAAAATTCATCCAAATGGAAAGAATTGACTAAACAATCATAAAATATTCAAGAAATCTCCCCACTTGGAGGAATCCTTTCAACATATTATATTATCAACCACATTCTCATTGATATTCCTCAATAATTTACCTGAGCAAGAAAGTTACATCATATAACTATAACTCTCCTATCACTGGCCCTTGCACTACTAACCCTATCACTTGTTCCAATAGTACAATGATGCAATAATAATAATGACAGAAATTCTTTCTCAGGCCTTGACAATGTGTTCCCACTCTCTGCTGTTCATGTCAGTTTGTAATAATATATCATGAAAGGAAGTAAAATACCTCATTAATGCATGGAATGTACAATGAATGAAATATAAATGAAAAACATACATCTAATACCTAAGACATCAGATATTAGATTCTGTCATTTATTTACAGTTATTCATGTATCTGGTGTGAAATTATGTAGGACTGTGAGAGAATCAGAAAGAGGGGGTGGAAAGGGGAAACAAAGAGGGAAGGGGGAGGCAGAGGAAGACTGAATCAGGACTCATATCTTGGTACTTCTTCTCAGACACTGCATGTTAGAGATGATATTATTTCAGATCAATGTATTTACATTGCAGCCTGAAGTGAGCAATTTATGCAAACATTTACCATTAACCATTTGATAACAAATCTCTTACACATAAAAAATGCATGATAAATGACTGATTACTTGATTATTTCATATGTAGGCATTCCTTTAATGATTAAAATAAAATGCTCACATGCAGCATCCATGAAAAATAGATATATTCAGCATTAACATCTCCTTAAATCTGATGTTGAAACTTCACAAATTTATCATTACAAAGTGTGGTTTACAATAATAACTTTCAGTATCATTAAAACCTTAAATTTGGATCCAGAAAACTTTACACCAAATTTTAGATATCTTATGCCTGTCCTCTAAACAAAACCAATCTTAGTTATATGAAATTTCATCTAAAGGAAATTAAAAGTCAAAATACCACCTGCAAGTTTTCCTTTTGCCTTCCTAAATAATTTCTATACCCAGTTCACATATAACATAAACATTTGTACAAAGTCACTCATACTGAATAGATTCATATCCTATTTGCAAATGGAAAAACAAAAGGAGTGGAGAGCTTACAAGGGGAATGAGGGAATGGGGGTATGGGGGTATCATGGGTATGGCAAGTGGAACATATTAACGGACACAACATATGTCTCACTGATAATGAAAAGTCATAGGAGAAAAGCCTGCCACTTTTTGAATGGCTTTGCATGATTATGGCACATAATACTGCAGGCACATAATACAGCAAATACCATATGGATTAAACAGCAAGTTTCTTCCAAACTAGTAATTCGTAAATTCTAGTTATCAAACAGCTTATTTTGAACTTCAAGGCAAATCACCAGGGCCTATGCAAGGGAGTGGGGTCCTTGAGTAAAAATGGGCCGGGAATTTCCCTGTGTCAAAGTGACTGAGGGTCTCTGAACCTACAAATTTCTAGAGATCTTCCACATAAATAAGAACATACTGGATAAAACAGGACGATTAAGGGAAAAGGGAGAGAGGCCTGAGAGAAATGAATCCCGATCATAAAATTCCTCTCAGCAGTCCTCCAAAGCACTGTTCATTTTTATTAACAACCATACAAACCTGGTAAGTATGCATCTTGGATTGGCATGGCATTTGTAAATTGTGTAAACTATAATAAAAGACTGATTCAAGAGCTTAAAAGATCAGACCTTGACACTAACATTACTTGTCTGCAGAATATCTGTTCGTACCTGGAAAATGTGCATTTCTGTTGGGTTTTGGTAGTTACGCTTAGGATCCTCTGCCACAATGAAGATGAAAATGTTGTTGTACAGCTCTTTTGGGTCTTCACTTGTAAATGCTGTTGGCTCCCTTATCAACTCCATAGGGAACTTTTCCACAGTGTCCTAAAACAGAAGAAAGCAAGGCAATGAGGTAATTTCCAGGGCAAAGATGGCATCATGGAATGCTATTACAGATACAAGTGATAAGAAAATGTGCAATTGAGTCAGAGTTGCTACAAATATATTGAAATAATCAGAGGTGGCATTTGGGGGTGGGGGGGAGCAAAGGGGTGCAAGCTTTAGAGTAAGCAATTTCTGTTAATTTCTCTTTGCCTTATTAAAGGAAATTTCAAATAATGTCTCTGGAAAAACTTGTGTCAAGCAAGAAAGTAATGGTTATATGGATGTTGAACTATTCAACCTTCCTACATGACTATCTTCATTCAAATAGAAGTAACCACAGATGCCTCATAACACAATCAAATGATTATGTGAAATAAAAAGCTGATGTAGTTATTCATCAGCTAGACTTGAACAGAGAGAATCTCTGCTATAGCCAAATGAATGACCTCACAAGAATAAAAAGTGTGTTGAAAAGATTGCAGCAAAATCAAATCATACATATTACCTAAAATCATATACAACTACATAAATTAGGAAACAAATACTGTGAAAATAATGAAGTAAAGATGAAATCTTCAATTGTAAAATTGCAAATTCAATCTGGCTAATTGTTGGCAAATTCCTTTGTACAGCTATAAAAAAGACTACATCAACAGTACATTACTGAATAGCATTCCATCTATTTCCTGATCTTTCATAAGACAGATCAAATTCCTTAATATGTTGAAAATCCTTTTATCTTATCAACTCTATGACATGAGTCTGTATACAAGATGACATGAAAGTTGTACAAAGTATAAAAAGTGCTGCTTTCCATTCAAAAACTCTAAATACTCAATAATGCTGAAGAATATATATGTAAAAAAAGAAACTACAATTTTTTTTTTACATTTAATAACTAAGACAATAAAAGCAACTTGTATTCCCTAACTACATCTGATATCAAGCAGAATTCCAATTGTGATTCGTAGAACATTTCAGCCATATCTCTTATCATTCTTTTAAGATAAGATTATGATACATCTATAAGGTATTTCTCAAGGGAAAAAATACACATATATATCAACAGTGAGAACGTGAAATTTGTTTGTTGCAAGATTTGTAAGGAGAAGAAATTTCTAGTGCTAATGATAATAGTCCAGCTGTGTTATTCGCAGGGTATTTCATGGCACACTGTTTGTCTTCATGATAACTGTAGCACGTTATCTTATCATCACCTGCGTATAAAACAAAAGGTCAGAGGAACATCCAATTCTTTGATAATTTACTGAATAGTTCACCTCTGACTAATGTTACTGAACAGATAATGTCATACATAAATGATTATTGTTAGACAAAAATAGAATAACATTACAGCAATTATAACACAATTTAAATGTACATCAGTTCAACTCTGGACACAGGCACTCTATGCTACACTTAATTTTTTAAGGAAAGAAAAGATGTGCTCCACAAGTTGGTTATGATTGGCTGATTGTAACATGTCTAATAAAGATAATTTTAATAATCATCTACAACAACTTATCAGTTATCAAATAATTATCATAAACCACCTGTCCACCTCTCATCAACCATCACTACACAGGCAAGTACATCTTCATCTCAATAAGAATAACTGAATGCAGGTACATTTCCTCTGGAAAGTCTATTTATGGCTGTACTCTTACACTGAACAAAAGAGTTAAAAGATGTGAACCTTCATTTCATGGGAACTCATTGTTCTAACTTGACTATGTTCATAATTTCTCACAGAACATCAGATTATTAATTTTTTGTGCTCCTTTTGGTATTATAAATATCTTATATTGAAGATTATTCTGAAGATATTCTATTTTATACTTATCTTCATCCATTAAAATCATTCACATAATGCAAGATTTTATCCCTATTGAACACATCAAAGATTTACTACAGATGAAGTCTCCACCAAACTGACATAGTGGTAGCTTTCTGGAAAAAGGAGAGGAAAAACTGTACTTGTCAGAAGCTCACCCCATTTTCGTGTGACTGTATGCAAACCCATTTCTTGTCTAGCCGCAACATCATCTTTTGCGTCCAGATTCCTGAGGTTTTCTCCATGTGTAGAAGACGTCGCATCCCATCTGCGGGATATACGAGGTCTGATTCTGGTGACACTCTGAAGGTGGCCAGGTGCTCCAGGACGTAGGTCGGACCATCCTCGGCACTCCCGACGGATCCATTATCTGCAAGAGGGTAGTACTGATCAGCATGTATAGTCGACTAAATATTATGAACTTTAAGTACAGCAATGTAAAGATATATTACAATATGTTAACCAGTGACGGTTTTACTGTTTGTCTGTTTTACTGTTGATCATATACCCTAGCACAAAATTCTTTTCGTTTTGCCTATATGAACATACATACAGCATCTCTTCAACATTATCCATAAGTCCATACTTGACAGTCTTTTTCTGCTCATATAACCCCACAAAACCCATTCCTGTACAATCTTGTAATTACATACTTTACCATATTTTAATAAAACATACTCTGGGCTAGAAAATTGGCTTTATTGATGGACTAAACAAATGTTAAAATCACATCTTGATTTCAAAGCCCTACCCCTATCCTCTCATGCCAGAACTCACCTGATGAATAACCATTGCTGGCCGTGGAATGGCCACGGTGATCTGATCTATAGGGCGACATCCGGTCTCTGTCGTATGCCGAACTGTTAGGAACCAAGAAAAACTTTAGTAAGTTTGTATATTATGTAATGCTAATAAAGGAGAATATCACATAGACAACTACTATTAACCCATTGCCAAAGGGGAAAATGAATAAAAAATGGGGAAAATGCTGTGCTCATTTTTTATATTTTTTCACTACACATAGATTGCTCTGACTTATCTGATTTCATCTTTCCTGGAATTGGCAGGAAAATGTATTTTTTACTAGTGTTATGAATATCAATGGTGTAATTTTTATTATAAACATTATAATTACAATAATATAAACTTTAGTATTAGCAAAATAAGATAATGTAAAATATTTTCGAAAATTAAAGAAAAGGGTGAACGGGCAAGACAGGCAGTACTTGTAATTGGCTCATTGGTGGTTTAGTACAAGTGTTGCCCCCTATGTGTAAAAACAATCAAATGAGTAAACTCACAGAGGGCATGGCATGGCATGCCCGTCGGCAAAGGGTTAATGACTACTGCTGTTCACAATAACATTAGAATCAAGCAATCTACTGTTTTATAATAAGAGGAATGATATCAATAACAAGATAATCACAAAATCATTCTGGGAACAATAATAACCACCAATGTCATTTACTATGACAGACATAACCACAATCATAGAAAAAATCATTACTGCAATGAAGACAAGGACAATAATAGTAATTACTGTCAGCATTATTAAAAATTAATATTCAGTTACCAATCATTAATAAAAATACTGATAACAGTGATGAAAACAATGATAACGGTAATGATAACAATAATAACAATAACACATGGATAGAATATTGGTGATATCTTTGAGGGCAAATACATGTAACAAAATACAAAAAAATGGTAACAAAAATGCCATTAACAAAACAATAACAAAGACATAATACTGATAACAATAACAAAAAGTAATAATGATACTGATGATAATGATATGTTGATGATGATGGTGGTGGTGGTGGTGATGATCGTGATGATGATGATGATGATGATGATGAAAATGAAGATGATGAAAATAAAGATGATGGTGATGGTGATGGTGATGATGATAATGATAAAGATGATGGTGATGATGATAATGATAATGATGAAGATGAAAATGATGGTGATGCAGAAGAAAATGATGGTGATGAAGATGAAAATGATGGCAAAATGAAGATGATCGTGAAGATGATAATGAAGATGAAAATGATGGTGATGAAGATGAAAATGATGGTGATGAAGAAGAAAATGATGGTGATGAAGGAAAAAATAATGATGGTGAAGATGATGATAATGAAAATGATGATAGTGAAGATGAAAATGATGGTGATGAAGATGAAAATGATGGTGAAGATGAAAATGATGGTGAAGATGAAAATTATGGTGATGAAGAAAATGATGGTGATGAAGATGGAAATGATGGTGATGAAGGCAAAAATGAAGATGATGGTGAAGATGATGATAACGAAAATTAAGATAATGATGATGATGATGGTGATGAAGATGAAAATGAAAATGATGGTGATAAAGTAATGCAGACAAAACAAAGGAACAAACTCTAAACCCGGGCTACTCAACTGGCGGCCCGCAGTCGGAATCCAGACCTCATGAGTGCTTTAGCGGGACCTTAGGCTCTCCAGAAAAGTATATAAAAAAATAATATGGGTACACTATGGATGACTCAGATTGGTGGTTTTATTTTCATGATTGCAATTAAAATACTTATCCGGACCTCTGCATATACTGGATCCTCTCTAACTGGAACTTTGCTTATAATAGTTGAGTAGCCTCGCCATGCACCGAGTATCATGCGCAAGTTAAGCAAGATAGAAAAAAAAAGAAAAAAAATGAGCAATGCATGACAAACATCACGTGGATCTGCGTTGCAACTCCTCCCATTTCTTGCAACTTGCCGGGTTTCTGACCCACGTGTTACACAACAGCTGATCGCCTCTTGAAAGCAAATCCAATTGTTCAAACAGGTGGTCAACAGAGAAGGGAAAACATATATATAAGGCAAAAACACGTCGGGAAGTACAAATGAGGGCGGCATAACGCGGGGACGAAGACACTACTTTATAAGGATTTGGTGCTCTGGGTGGCTACTGGAGGGAGAAAAGGAGAGAGAAAGAGGAGGAGAGAGGGAAAGAGAGAGAGTGAGAAGGGGGGAGAAAGGGTGCTCTGGATGGCTACTGGAGGAAGAAAAGGAGAGAAAGAGAGAGAAGGAGAGAGGGAAAGAGAGAGAGATGAGAAGGGAGGAGAAAGGGTGCTCTGGATGGCTACTGGAGGGAGAAAAGGAGAAAGAGGAGGAGAGAGGGAAAGAGAGAGAGAGAGAAGGGGGAGAAAGGGTGCTCTGGATAGCTACTGGAGGAAGAAAAGGAGAGAAAGAGAGAGAAGGAGAGAGGGAAAGAAAGAGAATGAGAATGGGGGAGAAAGGGTACTCTGGATGGCTACTGAAGGGAGAAAAGGAGAGAGAAAGAGAAAGAATGAGAAAGGATACTCTGAATGGTTACTGGAGGGAGAAAAGGAGAGAGAAAGGGAAAGAGAGAGAATGAGAAAGAGGGAGAAAAGGGTATGTTGAATAAATATTGGAGAGAAAGAGAGAGGAAAAGAAAAACAGAGAGAGTGACAGAGAGTGTGAGAGAGACAGAGAGAGAGAGAGACAGAGAGAGAGAGAGAGAGAGAGAGAGAGAGAGAGAGAGAGAGAGAGAGAGAGAGAGAGAGAGAGAGAGAGAGAGAGAGAGAGAGATGACGAAAAGGAAAAAAACAAAAACAAAAACAAAGCAAGATAGAAGAGCAAAGGGGGCGCAGAACCACCAACTCCCATCCCTCTCCCCATTCCCCACCCCCAACACCCAATCCCAACCCCATCCCCTCTCCCCACCCCCACCCCCAACCCCCTCCAGCCCGCACCAAACACACGCAATTACAAGGGCCACGTAATCCTGGGCTCCATCGTAAGGCTTCCTGCGGAGGGCATTTTATCCCCTCGCGCGCCCTGTCACATCCGCTTAGCGATGTGTAAGCTGTTATCTTGCCCCGGGGAGGAGGGGAAAGGGGGGGAGGGAAAGAGAAGGGAAGAGGGGGTGAGGGGAAAGGGAAGGGAAGGGAGGGGGAGGGGGAGGGGAAAGGGAAGGGAAGGGAGGAGGGAGGGGAGAGGGGAAAGGGAAGGGAAGGAAGGGGTGAGGGGAAAGGGAAGAGAATGAGGGATGAGGGGAAAGGGAAGGGAAGGGAGGGTGAGGGGAAAGTGAGGTAAAGTGGATGAAGAAAAATTATTAAGGGGACGAGGGGAAAGGGAAGGGAGGAGAAGGGGGATGAGGGGAAATGAAGAGGGAAGGTGATGAGAGCGTGTGTACAAAGAAGGGGATGAGGAGAGCGGGGAGAAGGAGTGCGGGGAAGCCGAAAGGGAATGAGGGGAAAGGGAGGGGAAGGGGGAAGGAAAGGGGGGGTATGGGAAGGGGAAAAAGAGGAATAAGAGGGGTTTGAGGAATTAGGGAAAGATAAATGGGGAAGGGGAAGGGGGGGGGGGTAAAAGGATGCGGGAGAGGATAGGGATGAGAAGAGAGGAAAGGAAAGGGATCGGATAAAATGGAAAGAGAAGAGAAAAGGGAGAAATAAATAGAGGATTAAAGAGGGGAGTAAATAACAGTAACAAAGAGGGGCAAAGAGACGCAAAGAGGGGTAAAGAGAAGAGTAAAGAGAAAAGAGAAGAGAGGAATAAAGAGAGAATTAAAGAAAAGAGTAAACAGAGAGAACCAAAGAGAGGTAATAGCCACGCCGAGAAAGGGCCTCGTCTCCTGCCCCACTCAGGCGACCCGGGGCATTTGTTCTTAATTACTGAGCTCCCGTTGATAAGATAAAGACTGCCACAACATTATGAAGTCATCCACGATTAATAACAACTATATTTTCGTTCAAAGCTATTTTCCTCTTCAGTGATCCTCCCCCACCCCCTCTCTCTCTCTCTGTCTCTGTCTCTGTCTCTGTCTCTGTCTCTGTCTCTGTCTCTGTCTCTCATTCCACTTAGCATACTCCATCTGCTCGCCTTTGTTTATTATTCTCCACCTTCTCTCTCCACCCGCCTGTTATCCTCCCCTGCGTGGCTTCTTTTTTCTCTTTCTTTCTTTTTCTTTTTCTCTGCCTCCCTCTCCCTCTCCCTCTCCCCCTCCCCCTCTCCCTTTCCCTCTCCATCAATATCCCTCTCCCTCTCCCCCCTCTCCCTTTCCCTCTCCATCAATATCCCTCTCCCTCTCCCCCTCTCCCTTTCCCTCTCCTCAATCCCTCTCCTCTCCCCTCTCCTTCTCTCCTCATATCCCTCTCCCTTTCCCCTCTCCCTCCCTCTCCCCCTCCCTCCCTCTCCCCTTTCCCTCTCCATCAATATCCCTCTCCCTCTCCCCCTCTCCCTTTCCCTCTCCCTCCCTCTCCCTCTCCCCCTCCCCCTCTCCCTTTCCCTCTCCATCAATATCCCTCTCCCTCTCCCCCTCCCCCTCTCCCTTTCCCTCTCCATCAATATCCTCTCCTCTCCCCCTCCCCCTCTCCCTTTCCCTCTCCATCAATATCCCTCTCCCCTCTCCCCCTCTCCCTTTCCCTCTCCATCAATATCCCTCTCCCTCTCCCCCTCCCTCCCCTCCATCAATATCCCTCTCCCTCTCCCCCTCCCCCTCTCCCTTTCCCTCTCCATCAATATCCCTCTATTCCATCCGCATGCAGACCAGTCACCCAGTGGCAGATAGATGGCTTATCACCTTTATCATCTTATCGGCACTTATCATATGGTGCTATTTGGCAGTGTGCTCCCCCTCCCCTTCTCTCTTCTCCATCTCCATCCTTCTCCTCCTTCTCCTTCTCTGCCTCTCCCTCTTCCTCACCCTTCCACTCTCCCCCACCCCTCCCTCTTCCCCTCCCTCTCTTTCTCCCTCCTCCTCCTCTCCCTCACTCCTCCCTCTCCCTCACTCCTCCCTCTCCCTCCCCCTCCCCCTCTCCCCTCGTCTCAGCCCCGTCGCAACTGCGTACT